GACGTGCTGGCGCCGCGCCTCGCGCGGGCGCGGCCCGTCTCGACGAGGAGCCTTGCGGGGCCGAGCTTTTGCCATTCCGTGCCGTCGCCCTCTCGCCGCCGCCCCGGAGATCCTGTCGCGGCGATTTGCCTTCACACTGGGCGTCTTCGCATCGTTTCGGGCCCCGGGGCCACAGCAGCTCGATCCGGCTCGAAAGATGCTGCAGAGTGATGGGGTCCAGGGATCCAATCGGGAGTTTGTACGATGCCGCACTTATTCCGTGACGTCGAATCTCAGGGGCTGTCGCCTTCGCCGCCGTCGCCCTCGCCCTCGCCCTCGCCATCGTCTTCGCCGCCGCCCTCGTTGCCGTTGTCGTCGTCGTTGCCGCCGTCGTCGCCGCCGCCGCCGTCGAGGAGCCACGCGATGCTGAGCTGCTACCCAGGGGCCGGGCGCCTGGCGCGGGGGAGGCCGTCGGGCTACCTGCGGCACGTCGACAACGACCGCTTGATGCCGCGCGGCCGCGACAACGGCCGGGTGTTGACCGCGATCCTGTACCTGAACGAGGACCCTCACCTCCCCGTGTCGTTGAGACCTCACTTGCCGGGCCCAGCGCCTGTCAAGAGGCGACTGAGGATGAAAAGCCTGATCCTGGGGAGCATCATCATCATCATCATCATCATCATCATCATCATCATCATCATCATCATCACCATCATCATCATCATCTTCATCATCATCAGCTTCATCATCATCAGCAGCATCATCATCATCATCATCATCATCATCATCATCATCATCATCACCCGTAGCCATTTTGGCTCAAGTTGGAACCATTGCTCCGTGGCTCCAGCTTGGGAGCAGCCAAGGAGCAGATCGAGCGCTCTTGGCACACAGGGTGCCGTCTTCCCTTCGAACAAACAAGGTTCGTTCTCTCCTTCAGACCCCTCTGCTGCGATGGCGGGTGCTGTCTCCATGGACCAGAAGATGGATCAGCTGCTCACGTCCATGGCTTCTGTGGTGCAGGCGGTCAGTGGCCACGACAAGAGGCTGGCTGAGATCACCACGGAGATGAACGACATGCGCAAGGAGATGCGCACGGAGATCGACACGCGCTTCGAAGCGCTACAGTCTCAAATCACTGCGGCGGGTTCACGGGACACGGACGACATGGACACGGTCGATGAGGCCCTCACCGTTTCCATGCTCAGCGCTCAGACGGACAGAAAGATCAACGACATCAATGCCACTTTGGCTACTATTCAAACCTCTATAGCATCACTGTCTCGTGCTCCTACGTCTTACGGCTCGGGTAGTTCTGATGCTGGTCGTCGGGTGGCCCCTCGGTTAGTTGGCCCCGAGCTTCTTGCTCCAGGCCGGATTGAGAATCGTGTCTGGCTTCGTGGCTTCCCTCGCGAGATGATGGCCTCCGCCTTCAAGAAGCATTTCACTCAAATCTCTGCCGAGTACGGTTCTTTAGTCAACGCTGAGTGTAAGCCTGCGAATGGCAAGTACACTTACCCGATCATCTTTCCCACGATCGAGCGCGCCAAAGCCTTCATCGCCGAGGCTCGGGAGAGGCCGCCGATCTGGAAGGACCACAAAGACGGCATGAAGCAGCATATTCTGCGAGTTGGAACGGATCAGCCGCTGCCTGTTCGGTTGAAGAAGGTGGCTCTCTCTAGATCTTGGGCTGTTGCGCACGCTCTCCTCCATGAGCATGGTTGCTGGCGCCCACACTTCAAGCTCGGCACGGATCCCTTCAAAGGCACGGTTTTCTTGGTGGATAACGATGAGTACGTTAAGTTGGTCCAGCTCAACAGTGTTGGAGGCGATCTTTCAGGCGAGTTCGTAGTCGAACCCTTCTGTACGACTCTCAAGGACCTCGGCGTGCCTGAGGACAAGATTGCGTCGTTCGGCGAGAAGGTTCAAGTCGATGTTCCACGCTAGGATGCACTTCGACAGCTTCGAGGTCTGACGGATGCTCAGTTTTTTCGTTCCCACTCGCTCCCTTTGTCGAACAGTCGGAATGCTGGGTCTTGCCATTCTGACGACAGGGGCTCGGACAAGGGCAGCTCTTCTTCCTCCTCCTCCTCCTCCTCGTCCTCCTCCTCCCCCTTCCCCTCTCCCCCTGCTGAGTGGTTCGTTCCGTTTAATTTCACTGCAAGTTTTGGCATCTGCACTTACAACACGTCTGCGTATTTCGGTAGCATTTTTGGCAAGCATGAACTTCAGCGTCAGCGCTCTAGTAAGGTCTCAAAACTGTTCGCTAAGTACCAGGTAGTCCTTCTCCAGGAGGTCCATGGTACCCGCCAGGATCTCACTTCCCTCCAGAGAGATTTCCCTGGGTTTAAACACTTTGGTAGCTTCTGTTCGTCCCATCGGGCGGGGGGGGTCACCATTTCAATATGCTCTAGGCTGCTCTCTCTGTTCTCCAACATCTCTTCGAAGGTTATGGAAGCTGGGCGCATCATGTTTCTTACTCTTTCTGGGACCTCTGGAACTCTTCAGATCGGCAATAATCACATCAACCCGCTTCACCCTCCCCTCGTTCGACAAGGTCTGTTTCGTAAGATAGGCAGGCACACGCTGAGTGCGGCGCAGGCTCTCTGTTTTTTCGGTGGCGACTTCAATTGTCTGGAGAGTGGCGAGCATCGCGTCTCCATCGCTGACGGCAGCTCTAGAGGGGAGGCTCCAGGCACTATTAACACATTCCTTCAGGTATTCAGGGACTTTACAGAAGTCGAACAGGTGGATTTCACACACAGATGTCGTCAGAACGCGAGCTTAGGTCGGCTTGATAGGATATACACTAACTGCCCCACGGCTGATTTGATTGACCTGCACCCTCGCACTGGTGTCCTAGGTGATCCCATGGCGTCATTCGAACCGTCTGACCACGTTCCTGTCTTTGTACAGCTATGCCCTGGTTGTATCGGACCGCCGCGTATCCAACGATGGGTCACGGCTCATCCTGATTATTGTACGTTACTCGAGGCTGCCGCCGAGAAGTTCGGGCTCTCCGTCGACCCCTTCGAGAAACTTCAGCAATTGAAAGATTGCATGTTCTACATTAAAGATGTTCTCACTCGACGCTTGTATCGTCTTGGGCCAGTCACTCCTCAACAACGTATTGCTGTTTGTCTTAAGCTACTTCGTTGTCTTCGGTCTGGCTCCATGGCTAATTGTGTGCGCAAATGTTTAGCTGCTTACCCTGTCTTGGATCGGTTTGCTACCCCTGACGGTTTTACTGATCGTATTGGCTTTCACCAGCATGTAGCTGAACTCCATCTTGAAGTTCTCCAGGAGGATCTCCAAAGGGCCCTTGAGGAACATGATGGTGGACCTATATCCAGAACCGACCCTGTCATTACACGTATCCAGCAAAACATGCGGAGCTGGAACCCGAAACGACGACGAGTTTCTCTTGCAGGTTGTGTGGCTGATGATGGCCAACCTCAGTCTCTTGAAGATAGTGTTGCCAGTCTTCGTAGACATTGGGCTGCAGTGCATAGAGCCCCACCAGTTGCAGGGGGAAACCCTTGCCCCCTCGGTGCCGCGATAGGTGCTTCCACGGACCAAGCACGGCGTCTTTTAGAGCTGCACATCGGGACGGTGAGCAGCGGCATAGAGTGGGAGATCGACTCGTCAGTTTTCAGTGGTTTGATTTCTCTCAGGAAGCGTGATACGGCCCCTGGTCCCGACGGCATTCCTTACTCGGCATGGCGGTGTGGTGGAACTCTCACTCGTGATGCGCTATATGAAGCATATGTGGCCTTGTTACGAGGCACTCGCCTCCCACATGCTTTCAACCATGGCTACGTGGTATTCCCTCCTAAGAATGTTGAAGAATATACCCTCACGGTTCTTCGTGGTCCTGCCCAGACCAGACCCATTGTGCTCTCGAACACAGATAACAAGTTGATTTCTGGAGGCCTCTCGGTCCCCCTGGGACTTCAAGCTCGGTTTTCGGTGGTCCCGTTCCAGACTGGTGGCATCAAAAAACGCAATATCCTGGACAACGTCTTTGCTCTTGAAGGGTCGCTTTTGGAATATGCCTGTTACAAGGGGTTCGAGTGTGCGGGCCTTTTCCTCTTAGACCTGGCTGCTGCGTTTCCCTCGCTTCTTCATTCTTGGATATTCTTCATTTTGAGCTCGCTGGGCATACCGTCTTACTATGTGGACGCCATTCGCGAGTTGTACACGGACATGAATGTCCAGATTCTGATGGGTGGAAGAGTCTTCAACGGATTTCAGATCGGGACGGGAGTGAAACAGGGATGCCCTCTCTCCGCCCTCATCTTCAACCTTTGCTTTGACCCGATGTTGAGGGTCATAGATAGGCTGGTCAAGCCTTTGCCAGGGCGTGCGCTCGCGTTCATGGATGACGTTGGCATCGCCTCGGGGGATATTGTGCGCGTGGTGGATAAGGTCCTCAGGCTCTTCCAGGTCTCGGAAGTCCTCACTGGCCTCAAGCTCAACTACTCCAAGTGCGTTGTCGTCGTTCCCTCTGAGGCTCTGATATCTCGGGTGAGTGAACGTCTGGGTGCTCGTGGGGTCCCTGTTGGTCGGCTCAATTTTCGCACGAATGGCAAATATCTGGGAGTCTGGGTTGGTCCTGATGGGCCCTCTGCGTCCTGGCGCGGTCCGACTCGGAAGTACATTGCTCGCGGGGATTATGTGAAGGGGCTAAAACTGGGTCTCAGTCTCGGCATTAAGGAGTACAATACCCTCGCTTTCCCTGTCCTCTCATATGTGTTACAACTTCTCCCTGTGCCCGACTTCGTGCGACAAGCGGAGCAGACTGTGCTTCAGCGGCTTACTTCGAGTCCACGGTTCGCGATCCCGACGGACACTTTACGACACTTCTCTGGTTACGGCTTTAAGTTCTGCCCGAGGCCGTTGGTACAGGAGAATCGTGCTGCCATGTTCCGTGCATGTGTATTCTCTGCTGCTGCTCAGGCTACGTTTGCAAAGCTGACGTATCTGGAGGATGAAGACTGGGACATCTTAGCTGTTCGTCGGTTCCCAAGTTGGCTCCAGAACAGTATGTGTGTCACTTGTTTACGTAACTTTCGTTGCCTGACGGCCATTCCGCGGTTCCACGATGAGTATAACGAGGATACCCAACACCTCCAGGCCAAGGTCACTCGTTTTCTTCGGCTCCGAGATCTGATGCCCTGTTCCAGGCTGCTTGTGCCCCGAATTCGGTATTTTGACCCCCAAGCCCCCGAGTGGATCACGAACAGAGTTTTCCTGAATCTACGAATTGCAAATCGCCTCCTTGCACCGTCCACGGCAGTTGCTTATTTGAAGTCCATCTGCAACGCTTGGCCGACGACCAAGCGGTACCGTCAAGCGTGTCGCCCGTGCAGGTGCTGCGAGGTGGAGGGTGGGGATAGCATCCGCCACATGTTTGAGTGTCCAGTCCTTATCCCGGCCCTGTCTCGTGTCCTCCCTGTCCTTCCTGCTTCTTTCTCGTCTTGCTCTGCTCTGGTGCGTCTCTTTATCTCTGATGTCTCGCAGATGACGCAGGACCAAATGTTAGCCAGCCTGCTAGTTCATGATCTCGCATTTGCTACCTTTAATGCTCTTCGTCATCTTGGTCGTCAGGGCCCTGATGTCATTCCGAACCTTGTGAATGCTCGTGCCCGTGTGCTGTCCAAACGGTCCCGTCGCTGCAGAGACCTCTTTATGGCCCGTTAACATCATCATCATCATCATCATCATCATCATCATCGTCATCGTCATCGTCATCATCATCATCATCATCATCAGCATCAGCATCAGCATCAGCATCAGCATCAGCAGCATCAGCATCAGCATCATCAGCATCAGCATCAGCATCAGCATCATCATCATCATCATCATCATCATCATCATCATCATCAGGGTCGGAACCTCGAGGGATCCACGTGAGCAAAATCGCGACGTCGGAGGTCCTGGGGACTTCATTCGGGGGGCACGGAGCACGCCGAGGGCGACCCCCCTCCGTTCTCGCTTCGCTCGGCCTCCCCGGGCAGCCTCCGTCGCCAGGGCTGGATGTCCAGAGGAGGGCCGCGGCCACTGTAGAGGCTCCAGGATGGTGCACGGACCCTCGTGGTCGAGGCCGGGAGGCTGCATAGCCACACCACTTCGTGGCCCCAGGCGACCCTGGCCAGGGGTTGGTGGTGGCGCGCAGCTGCCGTGCGCTGAAACCCAGCGGCCTCTGCTCACGCTCCCACGCGGTGGTCAGATCGCTTCGAACGTGGCCCGCCACTGCACTTGGTGACTGCGCACCCCCCGTCGCGTCGGCGAAAGGTGCAGCTACCGTGTCCGAAGGATTCGGCCCAGAGTCCTTCTGGCGAGCCCAGGGCCAGGTCGAATCCTTCCAGAGCGTTCCAGGCTCCGGAGTTCTCTAGAACGGCAGCGGCGACCAATACATCCTCCAGAACCGTCGGATCTCATAGATCCCCGACGTATCCCGATCTGATTCTGTCCCGATCCTGGCTTCTGGGGAAACTGGGAAACTGAAAGATGCCGATTCCGCCCAGGAGGCCCCAAATGGCGGAAACGAGGCAATGGTAGCGGCATCGTTACCTTTGCCTCCTCTGAGCTTCGTCTTGGTCCTGGTAGTGGCGCGCCTCGGGACAGGTCCCCGGGAGCAGCAGCACCGGTGTCCGCCGCCCCCCCCCAGGACTGGCGGCCCGAGGACGCCGGGGCGCTCCGGCTGTTCGAGCGGGACCCCCCGCTGCAGGTGCTGCACGACGTGGCACCGCGGCTGAACCGCCTCGTCGTGTTCTGGTCCGACCTCGTGCCCCACGAGGTGCTACCCGTCCGACGAAGTCATCTATACACCCACCGTGCCAGGCCAGGGCCATCCTGGGCCGTAGGATGGCGTACAGACCCTCCTGGCTCGGCCAGGAGGGCGTATACACCATCCTAGGGTTATATCGCACCAGGTCGCTACACTCTGCAGAAGTGGGAATTCGTTCAAAAAGGTTAGAAAATACTCCGCGAATCTGTTTTCAAGACTGTAGCGGTCATCGGGTAATATAATCCTGGGGCCCAGGATGGCCCTGGCCCGGCACGGTGGTGGTGTATAGGTGCCTCCTGCGCGATCCATCGCCAGGGCCCAGACCTCCGACGATCTGACTCGGGGCCGCTCTCGGGCCCCGGGGCCACCAACAAAGACTGACCCTGGGACGACGAGCTGGCCTCTGGGAGGAGGAGGAGGAGGAGGAGGAGGAGGAGGAGGAGGAGGTGGAGGAGGAGGAGGAGGAGGAGGAGGAGGAGGGGAGGAGGAAGAAAAGGAGGAGTTGGAGGCCGAGGTGGAGGAGGAGGAGGAGGAGGAAGAGGAGGCCGGGACTGCTGGGGGCCACGGAGATGAGAGAAACAGCTCGGCGGGTCTCCGGGGGTCTGATCCGTATCCCTTGCTTCGGGGCCGTTTCCATGGACCTCGGCGAGTGGCGGACAGGATATGGACGTCTGCCCGCCCCTGAGGGCGTGTGGGGTGGGGGGAGAGAAGAAACACATCCATATCCACCGCTCCCCAGGGGCCCCAGGGGGCGGAAATTATGGACGTTTCTGTTGACTCCGCGCGGCTGTCCGCTAGCGGTCGGTAAACAAGAAGTATCCCCACCAGCGCGACAGTTTCGGCGGCCGTTAATTCGCGCGCTTAGGTAATTAGGTTTGGCTCGTAGCCCGGGCTGACTTCGGACGCCGCCTGCGCTTCCGCTTGCGGCCGCGACGGAAAACAAATCCCCACCAGCTTTTGACGCCGCTCGACTTCTCTTCGCCGCGGTCGCGATCAAAAGTATCCCCACCAGTCCTAAGCCCAGCGTTGCTCCGTTCTGTTTTTCCCTGTGCTTCGGCGCGGCCCGTCCTAACTTTGCCCGGTTTTCGACCTGCTTCGCGAGCCGGCGCACCAAAAAAAATACCCCGCCAACCCATCCAGAAACATATCGCCAGGCCCAGAGGAGGGGGTAGGGGGAGGGGTCAAGCTACCCACTCGCCCGCAAGCCGTCCAGCTCACTCCCACCCGCCCTCGTAACAAATAAATAGCACCTGAGCCTGAGCGTGTTCAGCGGTCGTCTTTGGATGGGCAGCTACTGGGAACCAAAGCCGACCCTAGGTGCGCGACGCTTGGGCGAGGCGCGCCACGCGTGCTAGGGGCGCCACGCGCGCCGGCACCCCCGGGGCCCGAGCGTGCCAGGCACGCTTGGTGCGCCAGATGCGCCACGTGCTCCCAATGCGCCAGGTGTGCCGCACACTCCTGCCGCGCCACGTGCGCCACGTCCGGGGCACGTGAAGAGTGCGTCAGGTGCGCCTGCGCGCGTGACAGCACACATCGGTAAACATGTCGGCCCCCGCCATCTTTGTCGAAAATCAACCCATCATTGTGTCTGGTGGGCGTGCGCACACCAGGCCACGCGCCACCACCCCCGCCGTCCCTGTCAAAAACCACTTGACAATGATCGCGGGATGGCCGCGCATGATCCAGATTTCGCCGCGAGGTGCATGTTGTATCGTTTTTGTCAGGGATGGTAGCCCTGCGCACAGCAGTGAATATGCTGACGCCCCCGCCGTCTCTGTCAAGAACCATACAAAGTGTTCGCGGGCCTTGCGAACATTTGCCACAATGTGTACTTCGCATTGTTTTTTGACAGGGATGGCGGGGGGGGGGGCGGTCGCATCGGGTTGGCCGCGCATGCTTTAAATATGGAGGCGGAGTGCGGTTTGTATCGTTTTTGAAAGGGATGGTGGGGGGCGGGCCCTCATGGAGTCGGCATGGTTCCGGGTTGGCCGCCGGCCCGGTGGGGGAGGGGGTGTATACGAATAAGGAACAGTGATAAGCCCGTCCCCCGAGCAGGGCAAGGAGGAGTTCTGGCAGACACAGAACACAAAACCGTTAAACCACCTACGCCCAGAGGGCTGGTGGGACTCCGTCAGCAGGGCGCGGGGGCAGGCCGAGCGGGGCGGCCCTCCGAAAAAACGCGTGGGGCTTCGTGGAGGCCCTCCCGCCTTCGTTTTTTTCGCGGCCTTCTCCGAGGCCTCCGTCTGCAGCCGCCTCCGAAGCTCCCGATGCCTCCTGGGCACGGGAGGGGGGGAACGCGAAAACGAGCTGCTACAGCCAGACCGAAGTACAAGATCGAGGTCGATTCGGGGAGGGTGCCCCAGTGTCCTTCGTGTTGGTTGGATGTTCGCGTGCATCCTGGGGACGGGTACCCTTGGATGCTCTGCTTGTTTTGGGCGACGGAGGGCCTCGTGTTCTTGAGGGGTGCTCTTCTGGCCCAGGTCCGACTAAGCACGCCCGTCGTGTGGCCAGCGCCTCCTAGCCCATGGGGCTGCTGGAGGTACTCTTTCGGTCAGTGAGGTCTCCCTCACTGCCAGTGGTTTCCCAGCCGCCGCTGCTGTGTCCTTTTTCACCAAGGTTGTGCGGGCGTCGCGCTCAAAAAAGCTGCGTGCAGCTGCTGGCGGAGGCCGCCGCGGGCACATCCCGCGAGGAACGGGGCCAGCGCCTCCCGGCGCCAGAGAAAACCTGGCTTCTGCAGCCGCTGCGATCCCCCCGCCCCCCCTGGGTCCAACTTCGCCCCTTGCCTCGGCAGCGTGCCCAGGGGGAAGGGAGACGGGGCCGGCCTTCTCCGAAGGCGGGTCGGGGGCCTCTTCGAAGCCCTCCCACCAGTTTGGGGAGCCCCCTGATGTTTCCAAGAAGGCTTTTGGGAGGGTTTCTCGGTTGGCGGGAGGGTTCCCCAGGCGCCCCCCCCAGCCTCATGATAAGGCTGCCCCCCCATCGCCCTCCCCCACGTGGGCGCGCCACAAATTTTCTTACAACCCTGGGAGGTGCTTGCGCCCGCACGCGACCGCTTTGCCTGCACCATCTGGTACAAGGACACTGGCATCGCGTGAAGAGGGGTCCTATCCTACCCACCCTGAACGAACGGCGGAAACCGTGATTAGCAGTGCGGGCGACTCCCATGCGCAGTTTCGATTCCAGGGCGATCGACTGCAGCATGTTTGTTCCGCTCGCGGGGGAGTGTCTGGTACCGCTTTTCTGACGTACGTTGCGAACAAGAAACACGACTGGAATCCCAAACCCTATTTAGCACGGCCCTCTTCGAGCCGGATGGGTATGCCATGGTCTGGGGGTCCGAAGCCAGACGAAAACGCCCAGCGAGGACAAAGTGCAACGCCGAGATTTCATGTCGGCGGCGAGCGAGGGGGGAAGTGAAAAGGGGCAGGCCTTCTCAGAAGGCTCGAGAGGCCCCCCGCCCTTCCGAGAAGTTGCCCAAGCCTTCCAGGACGACACGAGACACCGCTCAGAGGGCGCGAGTGCTTCTGAGAAACCCCGCCGCCTTCTGAGAAGGCCGTCTCCTTCTCGCTTCCCCCCCGTCGCTCGCCGCCGATCAGGGGCAGCGGTCGGCGAGCCGCGCACTCAGCGGTCCTTCCTTGCCCACTGGGCCGCCCCCCCACGCGCGCCCGAGGACAGCCCCGCGGGACCCTCCTCCGTGCCCTTCGAGCTGGCGCCGGTGCGGCGGCAGCCCGGGGAGCTGGAAGCGCCCGCGCAGAGCGGCGGCGGCGGCGCGGCGCTCTTCCTGGACTGAGCCGGCCCACGCCCCACCCCCGAGCAACCCTCGAAAGTTGCGACCGTCCAGCAGCCCGCAGCCCCCCAGGGATGGCGAGGCTTCATCTGAATCCGGGCAGGGCCCCATCATGCTGGGACCCCAGCGGCCCTCGAAAGTGGCGACGTTTTTGCATGTCGCAGTCCCCGCAGAAATGGCGAAGTCAGATGTAGATTTGCGTAAGACCCCCGCTATTTCGGGCCCCCAACAACAGCCCTCCATCGTGCCGATCATCTCCCGTATCGCAGCCCCCCATGGATGGAGAAGTCGAATCTGAATTTGCTTTAAACCGAGGCTATGCTGCCCCCATCCGCCCTCGACAGTGGCGACAATTTCGCAGATTGCCCCCCTCCCCCCCTGCCCCCTCAGAGATAGCCAAGTGTAATCTGGATCTGGGTATGGCGACACTGTGCTCCCCCCCCCTCCCTAAAGTGACGCCAGTTTCGCAGATCGCAGCCCCCCAGGAACGGCGAGGTCTAGTCTGAATTTGGGTGGAGGCCCACAGTGCTGCCCCCCCCCCCCGCAGCCCTCGAAACTGGCGACGGTTTCGCAGATCGCAGCCGCCCAGTAACGGCGAGGTCTCATTTGAATTAGTTTAGGGCACCGCTAGGCTCCCGGAAACGGCCCCCGGAAATGTTTCACCGGCAGTCGGCCCTGTTGCAACTACGTGCCCACATGTATTAAGGTTTCCGTCTGCAGCACCGTCGACCACATATGCATACACATGCACGCCCTCTTCTCGCACAGACTATGGGGGCCTTAGCTTTCGAGGTGGGCCGCACGGCACTGCATCCATCGACCACCTAAGATATTAGGATTGCATACCGTTTGGGACTGGACGTTGGGACTCCTTTTTATTTGCGGAGACCGTTTACAAACCGACCAGCAGAGCAAGGGCGAAACGATCAAGGACAGGCACTGTCACAATCACAGTGGTGCACCACATGATCCAGCAGAGCTTCACTTTTTCGAACCCGCGAGTCTTCCTGGGCAAGGCCGAGGCGCGCATGCCAGCCATGCACATTACAGCACATAGGAACGCGGAATTTCCAAGGTCTACGCGGCAATACGATCATCAAGATTTGCGAGGTGTTGAAGTTCATGGAACAGCAGCACATCGATATTTTGTGTATCCAAGAACCACACCTGAACGGCGCTGAGTACTATACGCAAAAGTGTGTGTGTTTTTCCATGTTTCTGTCTTGCTGTACACAGGTGGACGAAAGATCTCATGCAGGTGTCGGCGTCATTGTGTCATCTCGTATCTGGTCCGCAGTGGATGCCTTCCAGGCGTGTGATGATCGCATCTGCACGCCACGACTGAACATACGCGACGGTATACTTATTTTTTTTGCCTGTGTATGCTCCTCAGAGTTGCATCGACCATGAATTGATTCAACTATTTGTTCATTGACTACAGCACGCGCTTCGCCCCACCACGGAGCATTCCACAACATATGTTAGTGGATATTTCAATGCCAGACTTGGCCGAGACCCAGCTGGCGAAGAAGACGTCGTCGGCCGTCAGCCCGCATGTGTGCAAGACTACGCACACGGACGACAACGACTCGCACTCGAAATGTAACTTTCTTATTGAAGCTTGCGTTGCCTGAGACCTCGTAGTGGCCAAGACGTTCTTCGAGCATCCTGACCACAGGAACGCTTCTAACCGAGATTTGGGAATACCACCCATGGCAAGTATAGACGCCAGAGGTTTTGGACAGATCGACCAGATATTGTGTCATCAAGACAATTCCACCACTATTGTTTGTAGTTGGAATTGCCGGGCAGTTGCATCAAATTCAACAAGTTCTCACTACTGTTGACACTTCGATACATTTCAAAGTGGAGGTGTCCCAGAAGAAGAGCAGACGTCGTTGAACAAAGAGAGCTACATATATGTCCGTGCGCGTTTTCACGAATGCAGGTCGCGCGGGTTACCAGAACTGCACATTGGAGTGAGCCGTGACTGATATGCAACAAGCGTTCCATGAGGCAGCGTCGACTCTACCAGACAAGGCCGATCAGCCAAGACACGCGTGGAAAGGTCAGCGGACGCTCGATTTGATCGCGGAACAGAGCAGCTGTCGTCAAATTGGGAACTACACCAACGAAAAGCCTATCAAGAAGATGATCCGCGAATCGGGCAAGCAACACCGCAACACATGGTTTGACGAATGTTTGGGCAAAGGTGTATTGGGCGCAGCCCGGTACCTTTGAAAATCCAAGCCAGTGAAACATGTAGCTCCTTACAAAGTGGACGTTGTCCGATACGGCCGAACGGGCTAACATCATGGCGGACTGTTTCGAGTCAGTGCAATGGCAGAGCCGATACCCACAACAACAACCAGAAGGTCCCCCGCACTGTCCGCACATATGTTTTCGCGATGGACGAGTTGCTGGAGTGTGTTAAAGAAATGCAAATGTGGGAAAACTACGGTCCCCGATGAGATTTTTCTGATTGTTGGAAGGCGCTTAAGGGCGATAGTCACGCATGTGGTGTCTCATTGTATGTCTGTCAACAATGTTGGGCTAAGAAATCGATCCCAGACTTTTGGAGACGAGCCGAAGTGGTTCTTCTATTCCAAAAGAGTACACTGCATTACCAAGCAACGACAGACCCGTTTCATGACTTTCCGTGGGGTGCAAGGTTTTGGCGGCACTGATACGTCAGAGGTTTTTACAATGTGGTTATGAAAACTTCACGCGTACCTCTCAGTGCGGATTTTGCCCGGGATGTGGAACAGCAGAGACCCTCATGCATATGAGACGCATGATTAATGTTGCACATACAAATGTGGACGGAGGACTATTGGTACTGATGTTTACACTGGGCCAAAGCGTTCGACAGGTCAAAGCCATATGCAATATGCAAGGCTTGGGGAAGATTCGGGCTCCAGGCCGAGATTGTGGAGATGGCGCGGTCTGTTTATTCGGCCCGTTTCTTCGCGATCCAGGACCATATCGGTACCTCTACCGAGAAACGGCAGAACGCGGAATCGCATAGGCGTGTCCGCTTTCTCTTTCTGCGCAGCAGCCCAGGCCGTCCTGCTGCACGACGCGATCGATTCGCTAAGTTTGGAAGAAGAGCTTGGATGCGCGGTGACCCTGGATGTTTTCTACGCCGACGACGCACTTTTTGTGTCCCAGCGCCAATCCAACCTCCAGAACATGCTGAGCGCTATCGCGGAGGAGGGGCGCCAATATGGGTTGGACTTCAACTGGAATAAAAAAACGCACATGCACAAATCGACAGTTCAAAAGATTACGGCGCCGAGCGGTTTTGATATAAAGACAGTCCTGGACGCTGTTTATGTGGGAGGGTTCTCCCACGTTTTATGGGGCAGCGCCCGCGCAGCAATGCATACTATTGGGAGGAACACGCAACACTTTCAAGCGGCTTGGCAAAGTATGGTTACACGCGTCTCTTCTTGTATGGAGACGAACGCTTAGGATGCACGAGAGCGTCGTTCTGAACATGGTACTGCGTGTTTGTTATATTCCTTTTGGTTGTTGGGAGCAATCATATACTGAATCGAAATGTTTGCGACGCATTCTTAGGGTCCCACATTCGTTCATATCTCGAGACCAGGGGGACGCCGCGTTCGCAAGTTTTGGTTGGTAGACAAATCAAGTTGCACGAGAAAGCTGCTGCACGTGGACCTACCTACGTCTTTGACGGGCCGAAGTGTCTGCGATGGCGATGGGTCGCCGAACGAGTGGGCTCGCAAGCGCAAGCGCGGACGACCGATGCGATGCGACAGCGGGGGTTTTCAGCTTTCAATATGTCTCATCTTGTCTGAGCAGACCTAGCAGTTTCCTGTCTCCTGGACAGGCTGCCACAGTGCACCCTCGATTGCCTGCGCGTCCGTCCGGATGCTTGGCTTTTGCTTGCTTGCGCCGCTTTGCTGATCCCCCAGCAGCCTTCGAAACCGGCGGCGGTTTCGCAGGTCTTACCCCCCCCGGAGGCGGCGAGGTTGAATTGGAATCCGCGTGGGGCCCAACTGTGCTGGCCCCCTCGGCAGCTTTCGAAACTGGTGGCAGTTTCGCAGGTCGCAGCCCCCAGGGATGGCGAAGCTTAATCTGAAGCTGGGTATGATGACGTTGTGCTGGCCCCCCAAGCAGCCTTCGAAGTTGGCGGCACTTTCGCAGATCGCAGCCGTCCTGGGGATGGCAAGGTCTAATCAGATTCTGGGTATGACGGCATTGTGCTGCCCCCCCCGTCCAGAGGCCTCGAGCGTGGCGACAGTTTCGCAAATCGCAGCCCCCATGGGGTGGCGAGTTCTAATCTGGACTTGAGTCTGGCGACTCTGCGTTGCCCCCCCCAGCAGCTTTCGAAACTGGCAGCACTTTCGCAGATTGCAGCCCCCCAGGGATGGCGAGGTCTAGAAATAATCTCGGTATGGCGACATTGTGCTGGCTTTTCCCCATCGGCCTTCGAAAGTCGCGACGTTTTCGCAATTTGCTGCCTCCCAGGGACGGCGATGTGTAATCTGAAGTGGAGACAGTTTCGCAGGTCGCACCCCCCCGGGGATGGCGAGGTTTAGTCTGAATCTGGGTATGGCGACGCTGCGCTGGCCCCCTCAGCAGCTTTCGAACATGGCGACAGTTTCGCAACCCGCCCCCCTGGGAATGGCGAAGTTTAATTTGAATTTGGGTATGGCGACGCTGTGCTGCCCCCCAAAAACAACCTTCGAAAATGGCGGTAGTTTCGCCATTCGCAGCCCACCCCCATAGATGGCGAAGTCGAACCTGAATCTGGGTATGGCGACGCCGTATTGCCCCCCAACAGCAGCGCAGATCGCAGGTCGCACCCCCAGGGATGGCGAAGTCTAGTCTGCCTCAGGGTGTGGCGACACTGTGCTGACCCCCCCCACAATCAGCCTTCGAACGTGGCGACAATTTCGCAGATGACACTTTCCAGGGAAGGCGAGTTCGGAGGCAGGTGCGAGAGAGGTCGAAGCGAATTGCCCCAGCCAGCTCAACCAGCCAGCCCAACCAACCCACCTAGCCCAGCCACCCAACCAGCCTAACCAGCCACCCATCCAACCCGCACAGTCCCCCCGCCTGCCCTCCGTCACCGCCGAGAGGGGGGGAACTGCTTCTTACCAGCGGAAACCAGAAGAATCACCCTGCCGAGGTCCGGCGGGACAGCGGGGAAAGGGCAAATCCCACCGTATTGTGGGGGGCCGTGGTTCCGGGATCCGCGCCCAGTGACCCTCGAGAGGGTTTCGGGCCTCAAGTGTTGCATTGTCGTCCTTTTTGAAAGTTTCACCGCGCCCCCTTTCTAAACGGCAAGGCTCCCATCCGTGAAACTGTAATCACTTTTCGGCCCCCGCGCGAGGCTTCTTAGAGGGTCCCAGGAGGCCTGCGGAGGCCCCAGGCGGCCGCATGAGACCCCAGGAGGCCCCAGGAGATCACAGGAGGCCGCAGGAGGATCTCTCACGCGCGGCCCCAGGAGTCCCCAGGCATCGTCAGGAGGTCGCAGGAGGCCCCAGGAGGCACCAGGGGGAAACGCAAGGCAAGGGGGGCCCAGGAGGCTCGCAGAAACCAGAGGAGGCCCCACGACCCCAGGTCCATCGCGCGGGAAGGACATGGAGGAGGAGGAGGAGGAGGAGGAGGAGGAGGAGGAGGAGGAGGAGGAGGAGAACGAGGAGGAGGAGGACGAGGAGGAGGACGAGGAGGAGGAGGACGAGGAGGAGGAAGAAGATGAGGAGGAGGAGGACGAGGATGAGGAAGGATAAAGCAGCAGGATGGATGAGGAGGAGGAGGCGGAGGACGAGCACTAGCAGAGGGAACCACGTTGACAAGAGGCGGCAAACCAAGAGGGTGACAGCATTACGCCCCAACAAGTAGAATTTGTCGAATTGGTTTCAACCCCCGTGAGGGGCATTACAGGGTATGAGACAATTGAAAAGAGAGAGAGAGAGAGAGAGAGACAGAGAGAGAGAGAGAGAGAGAGAGGAAGGAAGGAGGCGGCAAGGAGGAGGAAGGAGAGAGACGCGACCACAGTGCTCCATTCAAAACGAGAACCTAACAACGGAGGGTTGGGAAAAACGAGTCAGGACGAGAAGCCGGTCCTAGGGAAGTGGTCCAGACCTCAGTGGCCTGCGCATCGAAACAATTGGAGCGGCCATACGTTGGCTCTGCGACCATTTGCGAACCCTGCCCCTACGGGTCCAGTCGGCGCTGGGGTAGCGGGTACCCCCGCTGGGGTATCCTGCGGATTCTGATCCCCGGCTGGCGCTGCAGAATTTTCACCTGCCAGGGTAAGGTTCACGTGTGATTGCCTAAGGCCTAAGAGTTGGGCAGGTCCCCCCGTCGAGGTGGAGAGGATCGAGGAGATAGTCGAGGAGAAGAGGAGGGGGAGATGATCGAAGCGATGATGTGGGATCGAGGAGAGAATCGAGGAGGAGATGAGGAGAGGATCGAGGATCGAGGAGTGGGACGTTCGGGCAGAGGGTCGAGGACAGGATCGAGGAGAGCAGGGGAGGGAGAGGAGGGGAGAGGAGAGCAGAGGATGGGAGAGGGGAGGATGGGTGGCGTCGTCGGCGGCGGCATCGGCAGCATCGGCGTCGTCGGTGTGGTCGTGATCATGGTGCTTGCAGTTCTGCTCGAACTCCCTTATGCAGTGACCACCGCCCTCCCTCCTCATCCGCTCTCCGTTCTCTTTTTCCCCCTCTTTCCCTCTTCGCGCTCCCTCCTCGTCCTCATCCATCCCTCTCCCTCCTTCGTCGTCTTCCCTTGCCTGCACTGTCGCATGTCCTGTTCGTTGGGAGGAAGGCGTAGCTGCTGCTTCGTCTTGTTAAATGCCCAGCAGCAGGCGGACACTCTCTTCCGAAGTCGGGACGTCGCACTCGCTGGCGGTAATTACGGTTGAGTAATACAAGCCATAAATTGCATCACCTGCGTTGGGGCAGCGGAGAAATGGCAGATACGAACCCACCGCGGTTGCCTGTATCTGGTTGGTTCCAGGCGCGCCCGGCTTCGCGCCACCACGCCAACTCTGTCTGCATCATTCGACAATGTGCGCTTCGTGGTTCTCCGTTTTTTGTTACTGCTGTCCGCAGTTAGTGTAAGTCGTGCTGCCGCTGCGCCCGTGTGATTCGTACTTTGTTGCTTCCTACTCGGTGGCCGCTCATGGAAGTGTCCTTGCAATTATAGTTTGCTGTTGTTCTGGCTTTGTCTGCTTTTGAGAGTGCAGTCTTTACAGTGTAACGCTCATTCGTGTGCTGGCATAAGTTTTCGATGCACTGATTGGCTTTGCGCCCTGCCCAGTCGCGCCTTCCAATGCTGTTGCCTCGAAGCGCTGCTGCGGGTGCCCGCCATTTTGCTGCCCATTCTACAGTGCCGTTTTTAATACATGCTCCGCGTGCGGATCATGTATTACACATGCAGGGATTTAGTAATAAAAACAACGATGAGTTCATGCGTAATTTTATTCATAAGTCAATTATGTATTAAAAATCCGATTCGTTTTCAAAATCCTATGTGTTAAAAACTGCCCTGTAGGGGGTGGCCAGAGCGCTGGGAAGGGGAATACAACGCTTCACGCTCGTAGTTCTCCATGGGCTTTGTAAGATGCTGGCCTCCGTGCCACGCTGTCGGCGATGGGCGCGGGGCTGGTCGCCGGATAGGTCGCGGCGAGGTGTGCCGCAGCGGCCGCTAGCTCCCAGCGAGCTGGTCAGGAAACTGTTCCCTACCTAGGCTCTGCCTAGAAGGGTTCTTACTCGGTAAGCTCAAAGGGCCGGGCAGTGGGGCCCGCCCCGGGCGGTTCCCCAGTATCCGCCCCGCGGTTCCCCCAGTGACGCTCCCTTAGCTTCGCGTTGCTTATCTCATCTTAGCTTAGCCTAGCTTAACTTAGCTTAGCTTAGCTTAGCTTAGCTTAGCTTAGCTTAGCTTAGCCTAGCCTAGCTTAGCTTAGCTTAGCTTAGCATAGCTTAGCCTAGTCTAGCTTAGCTTAGCTTAGCTTATCATAGCTTAGCTCAGCTTAGCTGAGCTTAGCGCAGCGCAGCATTAGCATTATCATTAGCATGGCGTAGCATAGCATAGCATAGTATAGCATAGCGCAGCATAGCAAAGCGCAGCATAGCATAGCATAGCATAGCATATCATAGCGCAGCATAGCATATCATAGCATATCTTAGCTTAGCATAGCACAGCGCAGCAAAGCATAACACAGCATAGCATAGCGTAGCATAGCATAGCGCAGCATATCATAGCATAAAACAATTAAGCAACAACAGCAATAAAAGCAACGCAAACGCAACAATAAAAGCAAACGCAAAAGCAAACGCAAAGGCAAGGCAATGCAAAGCAAACTCAAAGCCAATGCGAACGTGTAGACGTATATGTAGATGTAGGTGTAGGTGTAGATGTGGATGCAGGTGTAGATGTAGATGTAGATGTAGATGTAGGTGTAGATGTAGATGTAGATGTGAGTCTCGCTGTTGATGTTGATGTAGATGTAGATGCAGGTGTAGATGTTATGTAGCTGTCGGTGTAGATGTAGATGTTGCTTCCCTAGATGCTCCAACTCCTAGGTAGGGTCGCACTGGGATAATTTTCCCAACCAACCTGTGCTGTTGGGTCCTCGTTTTGAAGAGGCGGTCCCCGCGTTTCCTCCTCCTCCTCCTCCTCCTCCTCCTCCTCCTCCTCCTCCTCCTCCTCTTCCCTCCTCTCCTCCCCCCACGCTTCGTGGCCCCACAGGGAGGTCCACCGAAGGCCCCAGTGGTGTGCACCACAGGCGAGCTGGCCGGGAAACTGTTTTTTTTTCAATGCAGGGCGGCGCCTTGCGCCTCACCTGTCCCGCGCGGGCACGTGGCGCCGAGAGGGCGCGAAGGGCGCGCCAGGCCGCTCGTCTGTGCGAGCGGTGCGAGGTGGCATGGCGGGTTTTTCGGGCCATGCGCCTCCTGGCTCCGCTGCCGTCTCCCCGACCGCGCCGCGCGGTCGAGTGGGCGCCCTTGCCAGCCGAGCTGTGCGACTCGGCGAAGGATTGCAAAAAAACGAAGGATTGCAAAACAACGAAGGATTGCAAAACAACGAAGGATTGCAAAAAAACCTTCGTTGCAATCCTGGGATTGCAATCCTTCGAAGGTTATTGCGCAATCCTTCGTTGCAATCCTTCGCCCAACGGCCCCTCCTTGCGTCGGGAGGGTGGCCGCGCGAGGCCGTCGAGGGGAGGGCGGCTCTGGCGGCGTCGGGCGCCGGAGGGCCAGGGCGGGGCCAACGCGAGGGGGGCGGGGGTCGCAGCCCGCCCGGAGCCTGGCGGCGGGCGGGGGCGGTCCCGCCGAGAAGCTGGCCTCTCCGCCGACGGTCCGCGGGCAGCACAGAGGAATGTGGCTGGTCGGCTGTCGCGCTCGCTCGCAAGACAAGAGGGGGGAGGGACACGGGGAGAGAGAGAGAGAGAGAGGCCAGAAGGAGGGACCAGCGCAGGAAGCAGACCTGACGCCGAAGGAACGGGGAGGAGCGAACCACAGGGAACGAGATCAGCAGCCGAGGAGAAATGCAGACGCGGGCGCTCGAGAGGGATAAGGGTCATGCGTGCATTTGTGGTTCCTTCGGCGCCTGCCGTGATGAGTTCTTGCTCCCTGCATGTTTGCTCAGAAGCAGACGTGCTGTTAGATACGGTTTTTTATTTTGACGTGAACCTGGACAGCAGCAAACACAACCTTCGCGTTTTGGGCGGCCGTGGGATATTGATTGCTAGTTGCGGCGGCCAAAGCGATATACACGGCTGGAGGCAGCCGTGGTTGACGACTGCTTCGGCAACGGTGACGACCACAATGATCCTCTTCGCGCACCCTTTTGATCGCACTCGCCGTGGCAAACGTGGCAGGTCTGAGGATCCCACCCGCGGCGTGTGTTAGCACGCTCGCCCATCAGCGACAGACCTATCCAGAGTTGCATGGCGGCCCGGGTGCTTGTATGCGCCCGCGGGCCCAAGGAGGCGCGCGCCGCGTCGCTCCACGAGCTGTTTGAGATAGTGCGTCTTGATGCTGACGCGAGCGCCCTATCGATGATAGTCGGCGTCGCCCCAACATACTGATGCTGTGTGTGCGTCGCCCTCCCAGGGGTTTCGTGGAGGGCGCTTTCTGACCGCACCGCTCAGGAAACGATATACTACGAGATGGTTGTACTATATGCTCGGTTCGGACGTTCGCCTGCGAGGGGAACACACTAACATAGTACTAGCATGTCATTTTGCGTCCCAGATAGTATCGACTATAGACGGGTGGGCTGAGTGGGTGATCGAGCCGCTGCCCTCCCAGGCGCTTCCTCTCGCAGATGCTGTGCATGGTGCTGCTGGCTGCAGTCGTCGCGGTCGCCGTGCCCGTCCTCGCGTGCTGCACACTCTTGGGTCTTGTTCTCGCGCCTCCAGAGTCCTCCGCCTCTTGGTTTCGCAGGTGCCGCGCGCAGCGCTGCCGGCGGCGGCGGCCTAGGTAGGCGGTCCAGTGCCGCTCCAGGCCCAGCCCCCCAAGGCATACTGGGGGACAACCCAACGAGACTGGACAGGATGGCCAAAGAGCTGCATTGCCAATCCATTTGTAAGCGGGGGGGCTGGCCAAGCGAAGAGGGGCGGGGCAGCAGATGCCGCGGCACCAGCCGTGTCCTCTGGAACACGCACTTGTGTGGTGGAGTTGGCCTGGGGGGGCGCGAGGATTGCAGGTGCCAGTCCTGTCCCGCCTTTCGTGCCAACTGTGCGGCGTCGCTCTCCTTCAAAGTTTTGTTGTTGTTGCCTTCTTCTTCTGTGACCCCCCCACAGTCTCGTTCTCTCGTTCGTTCAAGGTGCGCGCGGCGGCGACGCCTCCGGCGACCCCCGCGCCGACTCCCCGAGGCCCCCTGCCCCCAGCACGAGCCGCTCCAGCCATACGCGCCCCCTCTGTCCTCCCGGAGCCTCAGGCCAGCGTCCGCCGCAGTTGGTCACGCCCCCATTCTTGAGGGGCGGGAGGAGGAGGAGGAGGCACAGTTCTTCATTGTCGAATTGGGTGTTCCCCAGGTGGCGTGTACTCATCCGAACTGTTCTTGGAGTCGTTCAACCCATGCGTCGAGACCTGGCTGCTCAACAGTGCGCAGCACGCTATCTCTGGAACCATCCCCTGGTGTCGCTCAAGGGTTCCGGAGGTTGGGTTTTCAAACTACGCCGACGACATTGCTAGGAAACAGATGGGCGCACACACTCTTCATGCATTTCTTCGTCGTCAACAATGGCTTGACGAATCCCTTGATCGTCATATCCGTGTGGTGGGGTACGCACAGAACCAGGACAAATTTCGTGATTCAGGGGGGGATCTGTATTTCGTGATGATCTTGCACCTTTTGATATATCACATTGTCCTATCTGCGAGGCGCCCTTCGAGGCTCGAGACTTCGATACTGTACGGGCGCATGCACTGTTTGCTATTGTTCCGGCTTATCTTGCTGCCGCCGCTGTTCGCCCGCCCTTTGTTGATCTGTAGCGCAAAGGTGGCACTGGAGGCTCACGATGACATTATCAAAAACTACGGCGGCAAGACGCAGAAGATTGAGACTCCTGCTTCAGGCTCCGGAGACGATGCTGCGATGCCTTTGCTCCAGGCCACTGCGAGGCTGGCCATCGAGACAACGAAACTCGAATCCTTCAACGACCTCCAGATCCGGACTTTCACGGGCGACTTGCACACAGTGTTCAATATCAATGACAACGATCATGAACTCTTGAAGGCCATGCGCGCGTTCACCACGAAGTATGAGGAAGGCACCCATGGAAAGCGTGGTCATCATCTTGGCACCCCAGACCAGCATGCCGCCAAAGGGTTGATCTTGCAAAAAGGGAAAACCCATCCAGACGAGGCATCTCGCATTCTCTGGATGGAGACGGCGGCCGGCCTCACCGAACCCAGATCCTGCCGGCACGTCATCACGACGTGCAGTGCCCGCGAGG